TGACATTTGTTTCCATTGCCAAAAAAAAAAAAATTTGAGCAACCGGCCGGAAAATATTTTCCCACCAAAATGGTGGAAAAATATTTTCAAGGATTTCGTGGAAAATGCTGACGTGGTGGGTGGGGTGGGAAAATATTTTTCGTGGAAAATTTAGGCTATCAAGCAGCGCAAAAGATGGAAAATGGAAAAAATTTTCCATTTTCCATGGAAATTGTGGCTAATCAAACACAGCCTTAAAGTAATTATGAGATAGAAAAGACTGTAGCTAGGGAAAATTGTAAACTAAAATCATCGAACATACGTGTTTTGTGCGAATTGGTCCTCAACCTTTTAATACTTTTGACATCTATGTTCACGTCCTTTAACATTTTATTTTTGAAGGATATTTGTTCCTTGTGGATAATGTGCGTCAACAAAATTTCTTGAAGGTAGTTTTTCATTTTTTATTACTCTATTTAACGATAAAAATTGTATCGGTCTATTTACTAATAAAAAATTTCGTTGTTCTCGAATGACAGATGTTGGAACCTCAGACGAAATTATTGAATAAAGTTTTTGAATGAAACAACTATGAATTTATCAATGGCAAAAATGAATGACAGGAATATGAACACCATTGATGATAGATATATTGCAATTAAAGACGTCAATTCTTTTGATTTAAGTAGTAAAAAGGGGATCAAAACGGAGACTCGCTTTTCTCGAAATTTAGTCAAGTATGGAGAAATATATTGAACAGAATCACGAATGGAAGATCAAATTGAAAATTTGGGAAGAGTATTCTTCTGTGAAAAGGGTTTCGAATACTCTTAGACGTGTATGATTGAATCCACTAATTGAAAGACAACATGATTTTATCTAAGATAATATTATGTATCATTTTGGTCCCTTGATTTAAGGGTATTTCTGATACAAATCCTTAATTTTAAGTAAGTTAAAGATAAGGTAATTGTATTGTTATAGTATCAATAATAAATTGATCAATATCTATTAAAGAAAATCTACCTCCAATATATTTCAATTTCTCAAATAAAATATGATATAGGGCATAATTTCCACATTTGCATAATTAAAAAGGGACATAGTACATGCTTAATTTCAAATTATTTGCAAAATAATTAATTGATTTATTCAATTAATTTGACATTTTCCTTGTCATATTTCAAAAAAAAAAAAATCAATTTGAAATTAATGTGTAACCTGCCTGCCTGCTAGGCTCACCACGGGCTGGATAGGGATGGGCCCGTTTCTAACCTATACCGCACCATATTTTAAGTGCCAGCTTGGTGTTGGAGTACATTGGTAGCGGTGATTATTTCACTTGGATTTATAGTGGAGTCTAAGAAATGTTTAAGCGATTTGCTAGATATTAATGCAAAAAGTTTGGTCAATCGAGACAAGAGTTAAACAAATTTCCTTAGAACGTAAACTTAGTTCGATCAAGACAAGAGTTGAACATCTTTCCATAAAGAAAATTTACACTACACTGAGTTATGAATTTTTTGATACCTTTCTCTTCAACTTAAAAACTTTATGAACTTGAAGACTTGAGGGCCTATCTGGGTAGCTTCTACTTTTGCTTTTGTGAAATAACTTTATGAGGAAGTCACTTTGGATCGTCTTTACTCTAAAAGCTCTTTTAATCACTAAGCAATTCTTTAAAAAAATGGTCTAAAAATAATTTCTTAATCTTAAAAGCAACTTTCGACATTTAAAGAGTCATATCAAACAGATCTGAATCTATTGGAACATCAGCCTTTTGTCCACACTATTAATATTTTTTATGAAGGAGAATATCTATTAGAGAACGATATCAAAAACACCAAGAAGGATGGGCACAACTATATGTACAAATACATTGCATCTTCCTCATTTAAGTATAGTAATTCAATGAACTCGACCAACGGTCGAGCTGGTTGAGAACTTTCGTTCTATAAAATAAATGCATATAAACTCGATTAGTTAGACAAAATGCGTGAGCGAGTATTGGTTTGACCAAGTCGCTATATGGTCAAGATGGTCAATTAGAACACGTCTTCGTTAAAAAATATATATATATATATATATAAAAGTTGTTGGAGTACATTGAATAAGTTGCCTTGATTATTTCACTTGGATTTGTTGTGGAGTCGTAGGCAAATCTTTAGGTACTAATGTAAAAACTTTGGCCAATCTAGACGGGTGTTGAACATCTTCTCTTAAAATAAAAACTTTGGTTGATCGAGATACATTATAGTCTCCCTCATTACAGTAACTCCATGAAATCGACCAACGGTCCAGTTGTACTTCTTTTCGATAAATTAAATGAGTATGAACTCTAATAACTTGACTAAATGGTCGACTTGAGTGACTATTAATTTGACCAACTCTAATTTTCTATTGATGGGTACAAACTGGATCAAAAACAATTCTTGATCTATCTTCATGTCAATTCAACTCCAACTTCACTTGAATCACCAGTTTGTAGTTCACTAGCCCTTGTTCTGCAGATTGGACAAGCAGCAGTCTTTAGAAGCCATGCATCTATGCATTGAACATGAAAAGTATGATGGCAAATAGGCAGCATCCTGCACTTTTCACCTCCCATGAAATTCTCCAAACACACAACACATTCTACTGGTGTATTCTCTTTCTCCCCCACCTCATAATCAAAACATGGAAGCTCTTTTATATCATCAGACGACATGCTCGGGATTTCACTGGTTCGACTCGCAACAGAAGTCCCACCATTGACGTTGTCCATCATTAGGATTCGAGCATCAGAAGTCGCATCGTTGACGTTGTTCATCCTAAAAGACTTCCAAACAAAGTAAAGGTAAGTTGGGATCAAAATTGCTGTAACTACAATTATTAGAATTGCAGAAATGATAATTTGGATGTCCATGTTTAGATAGTCTCTTTTAAATATTCATATGTGGGTTTAAAAAGGGGCAAAAAGTAAAAGTCTAAGCGTATATGGCGCAAAAAGGAAATCAATTTCGTAAGACTGAGCTCCATGTTTTATGGAGTTTTTTTTTTTGTACATCAGTTGAAGCAAGAAGCTTCAGCATCACTTGAGATCAGTGTTCTAAAATGCGCACATATGCGAATCATATGCTCGGGTTGTCTTTGAAATGCCCGCATATAATTGTGCCAAATTAAATAAGATTTAGGCTTTTTTAGAGTAGGTGTTCGTGTCAAATATAATTGTATAAATTGATTATCAAGTAATTATAGTATTTTATGATTTTAAAAAATATGTTGTTATTGAAAAGTTGAAGAATATATATAAAATTCAAGCAATTATAGTATTTACGGTTTTGTGCAATATTTCTTTTTTCTTTTGAGTTTGAAGTATATGTATAAAGTTCAAAGAAAACATTATTTTATTTATTTTTTAGTTCAAAATATTAAAAATAATATTAGAAATTGAAAAATGCATAATTACGCATATACTTTGCATATGCATGTTTATGCTAGTAATAGTCGATGGTCAATCAAAATGCACTGCGCACTTTAGAATCTGCTTAAAATTGTTGATGGTAGGGTACAACCTCCATGTTGGGTGGAAGCGTAACAAGTTTAAGACGACAAAGAGTAATGTTATTTAGCATCAGTGTTGTGTATCGTGTCATTAATTGATTAAATCGTCTTAAAAGTAACAACTTAGTCCTATTTAGGATGACCCATCATTTAAAGACGCCTAAACTTCGTATTTCTAATAGCTAAGAACTCAATTCGTAAACTTCTAAATAACCATGGGTAATCTCATGTTGCAAATTTTGGAGCTTGGTTATAATGATGTAGATATGGTTCCTTATTTGCATAATTATGTGTACTTCTCAATAATTTGATCTTCTTTTAAGATCCATATTCTATTCAAAGAAATAGTTATTAATGGTCTAATGAGCATCAGTACTCATCTTATGCTTAATATCTGTAATATGTCATATCATTAATTTTGTGGATAGAATAAGTGTATCCACCAATGAAGATATGATATGTCACTGATGTTTAGTATAAGATGAGCATCGATACTCATTATATCATTTTTGTTATTCAACTACCAAAAAAGAACTTCATTTAAAAGCCTCCATTTATTCCATAACTTTGATATTTAGCGGTTGGCTTATCCTTCACGCTCACGCAAGGTGCTTGTGACATCTCGTGTATGAACTTGCGTGAGCGTGACACCTCGCATGTGTGAAAAATGCATCAAGTCTGATAAGTCACGAATTTAAGACATTAGTCTTTCGTTATCATAAAGAACAAGTCGAGATGTTAAAGCAATTAAACAAGCAATAAATTTATTTATTTGTGTATGTATTTCCAACAAACAATGACAACAATTATGCATTGTTTCTAGTAATTTAGAATAAGTTGCATGGATTATTTTTCACCCTACTCATGGACGGAGCTCAGGTAGAATTGAAAGGAATGAATAAATTAAATTCATTTTTATTAATCAGTTCACAAAGTGAGTCGCATATGGGAATTTGATGGCAGGATGGAGGGTAATTGTCCATCAAGGACCCAAGTGCAACCCACTGTCAGCGTTCGAGGATTCAAGTGACAAAAAAATGAAGAATGTGAACCCAAGTGCAACTGGGGTCAATGTTTCGGGACCTCGCCTGCAAATTTCTCTAAAATTTATAGCGGCCATGTTTGATAACATAGATTTTCCATGGTTCCATTTTTCATCTTTTGCCTTGTTTGATGGGCAAAATTATCCATAGAATTAATTTTCTTATTTTACTTCACATGCTTACAATTTCTTTGATTTTGTGGAAAACTAATTCCCACCATTTTAGTGGGAATTGGTTTTCCAATTTTTTTTTATTTATAATTAGAAATAATTCTAGACACAATGATAAAAAAAATTTCACTTTTATTCACAATTTCCATGTAAAATAAAGTCAAACGAATTGTATTCGATATGATAAAAAAAATTTCAATTTTTTTTTTTTTTGGCAATTGGAACAAATTATAAATCCAATGGTAGGAAAAATTATCACTTTAATGGACAATTTCCATAAAAATAAAAAAAAAGCCAAACGGAACCAAACTTTCAACATTTTCAAATGGAAAATTATACCAATTAATTACAATTTCCAATAAAATTATTTCTAAACAATTCAATTCCCTATAAAATATTTTATTTCCATCGATTTTTTACTTTTGCAATCAAACGAACCCTAAATGTTTTTATTAATGTCAAAAGAAGCAATTAGTTGTATTTGAAGAAGAAGCCATAATTGATTCTCTTTTCATGAAAAAATCCATATTTCGTTAAAAGATTTAGACATTCAACTACCACAATTGGATTCCATTTAAGAACCTACACGATTAGGGATTGCATGATTAACTTGAGAAAAAGAATTGCAAAAACAAATTAACAGCTAATCTTTAGACCATAACATTAATTGTGCTTGTGACACCTCGCGTATGAACTTCCGTGAGCGTGACACCTTGTATGTATACAAAACACGCTAAGCTCATGTTAGGTACTGATTAAAATCAAAATTTTAATTTAAGTCAAAATCAACAATAAATTTTAATCACATTTTATGGGTCCCACAACTTTTCAACCATACATTTCATTAAATTTTATTAAAATCTACTAAAAATTTGATTTTAATTCCTGCCAAACAGGGGCTAAATCTTGTAAGTCGTGAATTCAAGATATTTGTTGTTTCTTATCATAAAGAATCAGTCTAAAAGTTAAAGCAATTAAACATGCTACAAGAAAACTTTTATCTAGGAAAAATAATATTTTGAATAGTGATTTTTAAAAAATGTATTGTTAAAAAATAAGGACGATTTTTGGGTTTACGTGCAGAATATTCTATCGTGTAATTGTGTAGTTGAAAATGAGTATACAGAATAAAGAATTTTTAAATAATATTTGTCAATCGGGTACTTATTTGTATTTTCAACAAACAAGACAAATTTGTTGACATCCCTAAAATCTTATAGTCAACAAATCTCCAACTAAACCTCTACCTACTTGTATGTTATCTATATGTATACTCGGACAAAAATTGTTAGCACCAAGATCATCAGACAAAAGAAAACGGGTTAACGATCATTAGTACTCCAACAATCAAATCAACTGTTGATAAAAAGTTATATTGGAGTTAGAATATGAGAGAGAGACAAGATATTTGGCAAGAGTTTTATAAATTGCATACCTTTAATGTACCTGTGCATGGATATTTACAAGGAATGAATCTGTGTGGTGTGAAGATGAATCATGCTACAAGTACATTAACTTTGACAATTTTGACATTGTGCCACACGTTGGATCATGATTGAACAGTTTTTGAACACCACACACTCTCTCGTCCATTTGCATTTGAATTCACATGGAGCGTCAAACCCCATGTGAACCATGGAATGTACAACAAGCCAAATTCTGTAAAGATTAGGCATTTAGCCTAATTCCACGTATTGTGCTACCATTAGCTCGTGGTTTTCATCAGGGATGTAGGGAGAGAGGGAAAGGCTGGAATTTCTTTTCCCTATGTAGTAGGCTAGTAGCCAAGTAGAATTTTTTTTTTGCCCTTCTTGGCTCTGCCCCTGGTTTACATTGTAGAGATTGATTCGACAAAATGGATTTAGATTCAACGGTAGGTAAATTTTTTTTTATAAGACATTGTCATACGTAATTTTAATAGGTAATTTCATATTTTGTATTAAATTATTGACTATGAGAGGTTATTGACATTTTAAAATTTTAGTTCAACCTAAAATCTAATTTTAAACACGAAGGAAACTACTATAGAATATAGATGATGACTCCAATACCATGTCAGAAACGAGATGCGTAACTTAAGGGATACTTTATTTATAGATTTACATAAAAATTATAACAAAAAATCAATAATAATTACATATTCAAAATAGTATAAACAAAATTACTAGAAAAAAAATCACATAAAAATAAAAAAAATTTTACATCTAGCGTAAACATGACGAGACCTAAGATTTTGAGTGTCGTATTCGAAATTCAAAAGAGCGTCCCTCGTCCATTTAATTAATATTTTTTTCCAATTTTTTATTTTTCATAAAAACTTTACCAGGCAAACAATTGGAAAAAATAAAAAAATATTAATTTTTTTTTCCCTCAACAATACGTCAAATTTAAAAAATATCAATATAATATTTATAATTTTTGTGCCATTTCCCTGCTAAATATTGTATCCTCTAACTTGACAAAAAAATATTTAAATTAAAATCATAAAAGCAGTGGTAGAGTAGCTAAGGATAGATACTTTGACAAGGACGTCCTTGAAAAATAATGTAGAAATTTGTCGGGGACCAATTCAACGAAAGAAAATAAAAAATGGAGGACCAGTTAGCCGACAGAAAATTCAAAAAAACACGACAAAAGTGTCCAAAACTATTTTGAACGACCTTTACACATTAAAAAAAATTCAAATGTGAGAATATAATTTTGTAAATAAATTAAGAAAAGCTTCAAGAAACTATACATCTGCATGATCTTTCATTGTTAAACAAATTAACCTTATTTACAGATTTAAGGAATTCTGTTTTTTTTTTTTTTTGAACAAGAGAATATGAGTCACAAATCAATAGCTAAATAAAAATCTTCGAAGTGATTGCAAATTTATTCACTCTATCAATAATCGAGCAGAATCTTGTGTACCAGAAGGGATTGGCCTTTTCTGTAAAGTCGTGTGGATTGGATCGAAAACAATTCTTGATATCTATCCCAATTCAACTCCAACTTCACTTGAATAACTAGTTTCTTCACCAGTTTGTGGCGCATTAGCTCTTGTTCTACAGATTGGACAAGCAGCAGTTTTCAAAAGCCAAGAATCTATGCATTGAACATGAAAACTGTGATGGCAAATAGGCAGCATCCTGCACTTTTCACCTGCCTTGAAATTCTCCAAACACACAACGCATTCTACTGGACTATTCCCTTTCTCCTCCACTTTGTAGTCGAAACACGGCAGCTGTTTTATGTCATCGGAAGACAAGCCCGGGACTCGACTGATTCGACTGGGAACAAAATTCCGACCATTGATGTAGTTTCCTCTGAAAGCTCTCCCAACAATACAAACATGAATCACAATCAGAATTGTTATACCTATAACAAATAGAAGTACAGATATGATAATCTGCATGGGCATGACCTATGCTTCAGGAAATCTGAAATTCTATTTAAAGAAGTTTTCTTGGGGAGAAACTCGGTGGAAGAACAGCTGAAAAAATGGCATTGAGCTTCAAGTGGCTTAATGAAATACTAGGAGTCACTAAACTTTTAACAAAATTTTACATTAGTCACTAAACTTTATTTTGTCCTAGATTGGTCATTGAACTTAAACATTATTTCAAATTGATCATTCTATCCATATTCGTTAAGTAACTCAAATGGGCGACACGACAATCTAGTTCTTTTTCAAGTAAATTACTTATTCAACTTGTTCTAATGGACACACTTACACACAAGTGCACACGTGCCATAAAAAAGAAGGCTTTGTCTCCTTAAGAAATTCTTTTCCGATGCAAAATACCTCGATAAAATTAATAACAAATATTTTAGTCCAGTAATAAATTTATCGTAAAATGAAATTTAACGACCATCTAAAATTTCACTAAAAGTTTAGTGGCATATTTTTAACTCAGCATATAGATTTGGATTCTTGTGCAACAATAATTCTGAAAGCATCCTAAGTTGAAGAAGACTGATGATGTTGAAAATATCATAAAAGAAATTAATTTTTAAGTGGCTAATATTGAAATCTCAAGTCAACCTGCCATAATATTTTAAATTCAATCAATCAGTGGTTTTGGTGATTGATTGGAAAATTCATTTTAAACAAAGTTTTGATTGAAAATTTCAAGTTTGAACAAAGTTTTGATAAGAGTTGAGTGCTATTTGCATTATATTAATAATAGAGGGGTGGAGTCTACATGACTGTGGACCCAGCTATGGTTGTGTTTTTTTGCATCATGATTGTTAGAATAATTTCATAGATACAGAAAATTATTGACAGAAATGATGGCAGCATGTATGGTACATTTTCTATATTTGTTGTGTCAAAAACCAATAAATATCTGTCAAGTTTTTTTGGTAAGAATTCTACTAAATTTACTCCGCACTTCTAGCAAAATAGTGATTGTCGTCTTCCGATTTTAGAATTGATTACCTAGCCATTTAGCCTAACAAGAACTGAAAGAAGTTTAAGATGAGATGTTTTGGCTCTTTTTGTCGAGTTATGCACGGGTATATCGACACCTTGTATAAAGTTTTCGATGTATCCTACTAGTTAAATAATTAATTGTCTGACTAAATTGTACGAAAGGTGGGTCCGACTAAATTGTACGAAAGGTGGGCCGGTTCACCCACCCTATTCACCCATATTCACGGGTGAACATTTTTTTTTGGAATCAGTTAGATCTGATCGGTTTTGCTTCGATTCCTTTACTAAATGAGTCAGTTTTAGGATCATGCACCGATAATCGATTGATTTTGATCTAATTCAACGTACTGACTTGAAAATCAGTGGTGAATTCAGTTCTTCTGAATTTCTCTTTTTGTTAGTGCATCGTACCAAGATACACCAAACCTTTGAACGCTAGTTTTAAAATTATCTCACTTTAGAATTTCACTTTCCATACGTTTTTCTGCTTTCTTTTGCAACAAAACCTAATTTGTAATACAAAATCGAAATTTAAATAATTTTATAGATATTTAATGAATTCATAGTTTCAATGCAACCCCAATAGGAAAAATATATATTTTTTGTTCAATCTTTGAAAAAAAATTCAAATTTCTCGTTATTTTCAAAATGGCCGACCATCAATAATCAAGATCATTGATGATTATTAAAGATAATCGGGTTATAAATACTACATTTATTTGTAAATATATATTATTGTATCATTTGTATGGATTTTTTTTAGAATTAATATCCAATCCAAATTTTATAGATCATGATGTGTAAATAGTTTATATTTTTCTGCATTTGTGAGTTGATGTTGAATTTTTGAGTAATTTTTTATTTTTATTTTTTATTTGTTAGATCACAAAAATGATGAGTGATTTCATAGTCTATCTTGGTCTATTTTCAATTTGACAAATAATTTCATACTTTATTATTATAATTTTTCATCATAAAGAATCGATCAGACCGAAATCAGTTGGTTTGATTCCAATTTTATTTTATAGTTGGATATANAATAAGTGTAAGAATCGGATTTATGGCGTTCTGGGCGTGTCTGAGTTTCAATAGGGTAGAAAATTTGGTTTCCAATTCGAAGGGCAAAACCTAAAAATTCGCTCTAAATTTACTCTATGCGATCACAAGGCATAAACCCATGCGGCCGCAATGAACAAATAATTTCAGCCATTTGAGTTGCTGAAGGCTTCCATGCAATCGCATGGATTTATAACCATGTGATCGCATGGTTTTAACTTTTTCCCGCCGAACAGTTTTTAGTATTTTGACCATAACTTTCTTTCTTGATATCCGATTGAGGTGATTCAAGATGTGTTGGAAAGATAACTCAAAATACTACAACTTTTATTCAGATGTCAACTTCCAATTCAATCTTCTACTATGTAAAACACCGGTCTCAATATGAGGCTGAAAACCACGGTGTGAAACTTTTCAGCTTGAAGGTTGATATTTGATGATGTATTGGTAATCTTTCACCCATTAGACTCATCTATTCATCCAACTGATCTCTAAAACTCTTGAATCTTCATCACAAGGTTGGAAACAAGTTTGTAGTACTTGCACCTTAGGCCCTGAACTTTCACTTTCTTCCAGTTTGGTCCTTTATCACTTGGTTCACCTCAATTTCGCTACATTCATCACTTTGTACTACAAAACATAAATTGCATAGAATTAAGCTATATTCCAACATTTTAATCAACAATTATTCATGTTTTGACAGTAAAATAAGTATGTAAAAACACACTTATCATGTTACATAAGGCAAATATTGTTTAATTGTTCGGTTTTCCATTTTGGTCATTAGTTCTTATATTTTTCAATTTTTATTTATTGATATTGAATTACATTGATCTCTTCAATCGATATCGTGAACCTGAAAATTCTTGAACATTTCCAAACATAAGTTANTGAGAAGATAAGCAATCAACATCACAGATAATTCAACATATATTAACTGTTCATACATATATTTATGTGTACAAAGCTTGAACTTAATTTAGCAGATTACTAAAAATTGAACTGAAAATTAATAATTGAAATTTTAAAAAATAAATTATGTCTTTTTTCTAAACTTCAATTTGGTCATCCAACTATTATTTAAAGGCACTTTCATCCTTCAACTATTATGAAACTCCAATCTGGTCATCCAACTATTATATTAAAGCGAATTTCATCCTTCAACTTTTTACAAACTTCAATTGGGTCATCCAACAATTATTTAAAGGCACTTTCATCCTTCAACTATTAGGAAACTCTAATTTGGTCGTCCTACTATTTTACAAATGGAATTTCTTAATTAAAACCTAATGTAATGTAGAAATAATGGAAAACCCATTAACAAATTTGGAAAGCTGCACTTCTTTGAATAGAAGAGTTCAAAAGTTAAGGATTAACTATACACAATTCAAAAATCAGGTTTTAAATTTGAATAATGCAAAAATCAGATTTTAGTTAATTAATTTAAAATATTTAATAAAATCACAGTTATATAATTAATGGTCACATATACATAATTATATGTTACATGTCACATATTTTAAAATTAATTGATCACAGATTATTTTGAGATTATTGATAAAAAAATTTGTACATCGTAGATTCTCTCGAGGTCACAGATTATTTTTGAATCACATATTATTAAATTTTTAGGTCACAGTTGAGTAATTGGTTACAGATTACCAAATATTTGGTCATGGACTACCGCCACTACCACCGTACTGTCGACACCTCCACCTGCAAAATCAACTATACCCAACCCACAACCTCACCAACAGAACCACCGTCCCCACCGCTTGGTCACTGACTATCGCCACTACCACCGCACTGTCGACACCTCCACCTGCAAAATAAACTATACGCAACCCACGACCTCACCAACATAACCACTATCCCCACCGCCTACACGACCACCGCCAGAAACCATCACAGCCACCAGACCACAACCATAGCCAAAAACCCCCTACCAAACACACCCAACAATGCACCACCCCCACAACCTCACCAAAACTGTCTTCGATCCGCCATAGCCACCAACAGTATCTACAACACGACCAACAAAAAAATGCCTAAAAACTCCCCAACACCACCAAACCACCACTCCGCCACTGTACACACACCCACAACGCACATTTACTAGATCGCAATAGAAAGAAGAAGATAGGGGAATGGCGGAGGACATAGTAGGTTTTCGGCGATTTGTTCTGTGAGGGATAGGGGAATGGAGGAGCAGTGCAATTCCCGACGTCTGTGAGGGAGATCTGCGCGACGTCGTTGCTCTACTCCGACGGCGATAAGGGAAAGGATAGAGAGAGAGAGACGAGTATCGAAGAGAAGTAGAGTAGAAGAAAAATGATTTAGGTTTTGTTTGGGATTAGGGTTATTAATATATTACCCGATTTTTGAATAAATAAACTTTGCACATGATTTTTAAAAAATTATCTTTAAACCCCTGATTTTTTATAATTTCCATTCTTTGAAAGGCTTTGGACCTCTATAGAATGGCCTAACATGAAGCCCGTGAAAAAAGAGTGGACAACCCATTTACAAAATTTTAAGGGAAAATAGCTCCATTGCCCCCCATTTTTACAAAATGTTGAAATATACCCTTGTTTGTAATATTAATCCTTTAATAACAGGACACTTGATTTAACCCAAGGCAAATTTGACAGAACCCCCACCCCATTTACGCAAAACATAACTCGGATATTTTTCTCGACATTTTTTTACATTTTCAAATTCAGCCAATTGATTCCTTCGTCCCCTAAACTTGAATAAAAAACTCTAATTACTTTTTGTATAGATAAAACAAGAGATGAATCGTGTTTTTCTTGTCCTTCATTAAAGAGAAAAATCTCATACGTTAGCATGCAAGTATGCACTCGCAACCCATATTTTTATCTCGTATTTTGTTTTCAGTTTCTATAAAGCCTTAATTTATGTATTGAACAAATTAGATTACCGTCTATATATCTTGTAATCAAATTTCTTTGGTGCTCGTGTTTCTTGTACACTCTCATAACATGACAATATCGAACCCATTTACAATATTTCTTGTACACTCTGATGACATGACTATTGCCGCACGGTGTCTCTTTCTGTGTTAAGAAGAATGGTAACCCGTGAAAGAACCAGATAAAAGTTAAACTGTTTTAATTTCATACTTTATTATTATAATTTTTCATCATAAAGAATCGATCAGACCGAAATCAGTTGGTTTGATTCCAATTTTATTTTATAGTTGGATATAGAACCAATTGTTTCATTTCTAAGATTTTCATTGATACTCGATTCGATTCCTTTCAGAACCAATTGAATCCGATTGTATTCACTCCTACACAAAACTACGTATTAATGCATTTGACTTGTTAAGTCGATGACTTTGAGTTTATATAGTGAATACTTGAACAACTATCTCATTCGAAAAGTTTTAAGTTATAAGAGTGACATAAATTTGCTTTCATGTACTTAAAAATTCAAGACGTCTCATCTAGGGTTCGGAACAACATTGCATCCTTCTGCATAAAAAGAAAAAATCCACAGAACTCTAACCCTAAAATAGGGCAAACAAACGTAGCTACTTCAATTGACCAAGAACAAGCAAGCTAATCTCAACTCTAAACCTCTAATCGAAGAATCACATAGATTCGATACACACAGATTCACCCCAAAAATCAGAGATTTTGGGGTTACACAAAGTAGATGAAAAAGGAACGAGAAGAGACATCGAGAGAGATATTCCAAAAGCCTTACGAAGACCAGATGAAAAAATCAATTAGGACAACCACACAAATCACTTAAATACAAACCATCATCATAGTGGATTTCAGTTGGTGACCAACGGTTCGGAGTTTCATTTTGCGTTAGCAGGCAATGGAATGTATAATACCAACGAGTGGGCTTAGCCCAATTTTCATCATAACCCAAATGTTTGGATTATGGCATCACAACCCAAACAATTTCTCTTATCAAATGTTCGACAAATGAAATTTCGATAAGTGGATGCTGATGAGATTTGAACTTATTTGAAAATAAGCTAATTGAATATTTAAGTCGTTACGATATTTTTTCTCATCATCATTTTGTGACTATGTCTTCAAACAACAATAAATTAAGCCTTAAAAACTAATATATTTGGGGTTGGCCGAATGAATTTTTTCCCCATCATGTAATGGATCATTTCTACTCCTATTAGAAGATAGAAACCAAATCTTTAACTTACAAGCATCAATCTTGTGGAAACTTCTTGTATCCCTTTACCTAATTTATTTTTCATTATTGTTCCTTGTCATATATAAATTAATCCCAGTGCAATACTCTTCTATTCGTTAGTTGTACACGGATAATTCAACATATATTAACTGTTCATACATATATTTATGTGTACAAAGCTTGAACTTAATTTAGCAGATTACTAAAAATTGAACTGAAAACTAATAATTGAAATGAAAAAAAAAATTATGTTTTTTTCTAAACTTCAATTTATCCTTCAACTATTATGAAACTCCAATCTGGTCATCCAACTATTATATTAAAGCGAATTTCATCCTTCAACTTTTTACAAACTTCAATTGGGTCATCCAACAATTATTTAAAGGTACTTTCATCCTTCAACTATTAGGAAACTCTAATTTGGTCATCCTACTATTTTACAAATGGAATTTCTTAATTAAAACCTAATGCAATGTAGAAATAATGGAAAACCCATTAACAAATTTGGACCACTGCACTTCTTTGAAGGGAAGAGTTTAAAAGTCAGGGATTAATTATAAACAATTAAAAAATTAGGTTTTAAGTTTGACTAATACAAAAATCAGGATTTAGTTAATTAATTAAAAATATTTATTAATTAAATATAATAAAATCACAGTTATATAATTAATGGTAACATATACATAATTATATGTCACATGTCACATATTTTAAAATTAATTGATCACGGATTATTTCGAGGTCATTGATAAAAAAAAATTTGTATGTCACAGATTTTTAAATTAGTTGGTCATAGATTATTTTTGAATCGCATATTGTTAAATTTTTAGGTCACGGTTGAGTAATTGGTTACAAATTATCAAATATTTAGTCACAGACTACCGCCGCTACCACCGCACCGTCGACACCTCCACCTGCAAAATCAATTATACCCAACCCACAACCTCACCAACATAACCACTGTCCCCATCGCTTGGTCACAGACTACCGCCACTACCACCGCACCGTCGACACCTCCACCTGCAAAATCAACTATACCCAACTCACAACCTCACCAACATAACTACTGTCCCCACCGCCTACACGACCACAGCCACCAGACCACAACCATAGCCAACCCCCCCCCCCCAACCGAACACACCCAACAATGCACCACCCCCACAACCTCACCAAAACTGCCGTCAATCCGCCATAGCCACCAACACTATCTATATGCACAACCAACACAAAATACCTAAAAACTCCCCAACACCACCACTCCGCCATTGCACACACACTCACAACACACGCTTACTAGATCGCGATAGAAAGAAGAAGATGGGGAATGGCGGAAGAGATAGCAGGTTTTCGGCGATTTTGTCTATGAGGGAGAGGGGAATGGAGGAGCAGTGCAATTCTCGACGTCTGTGAGGGAGATCTGCGCGACGCCGCTGCTCCACTCCGGCGACGATAAGGGAAATGATAGAGAGAGAGACGAGAATCGAAGAGAAGGAGAGTAGAAGAAAAATGATTTAAGTTTTGTTTGGGATTAGAGTTATTAATATATTACCTGATTTTTGAATAAATAAACTTTGCACCTGATTTTTAAAAAGCTATCTTTAAAACCCTGATTTTTTATAATTTTCCATTCTTTGAAAGGCTTAGGACCCCTATAGAATGGCCCAACATGAAGCCCGTGAAAAAAGAGTGGACAACCCATTTACAAAATTTTAAGGGGAAATAGCTCCATTGCCCCCCTTTTTTACAAAATGTTGAAATATACCCTTATTTGTAATATTAATCCTTTAATAACAGGACACTTGATTTAACCCGAGGCAAATTTGACAGAACCCCCACCCCATTTACGCAAAACGTAACTCGGATATTTTCTCGACATTTTTTTACATTTTCAAATTCGGCCAATCGATTCCTTCGTCCCCTAAACTTGAATAAAAAACTCTAATTACTTTTTATATAGATAAAACAAGAGAGGAATCATGTGTTTTTCTTGTCCTTCATTAAAGAGAAATATCTCATACGTCAGCATGAAAGTATGCACTCGCAACCCATATTTTTATCTCGTATTTGTTTTCAGTTTCTATAAAGCCTTAATTTATGTATTTAACGAATTAGATTACCGTCTATATATCTCGTAACCAAATTTCTTTGGTGCTCGTGCTTCTTGTATACTCTGATGACACGACAATATCGAACCCATTTACAATATTTTTGTATCAACATATAGGTTAAAAGTTGTTGATTATAAAATAATAATAATAATAATAATTAAAGAATAAGAGGAATCGGATAAATAAAGAAGTCCACCAAAGACTCCCACTATACTGAACCTAATGCCAACACATGAGCACTACCAAATTGTTAAAAAGTTTCATTGGTATAAACACCGTGGAATAACCCCTAATTATTATTATTAGAGTTTTGCTATAGTTACGGGAATTTGAATTCATGTACCTATACAGGATAGACACATCACGAGGGTGCGTGGGTAGAAAAATCAATTTTTACTCACATGGGGGCCCACTGTGAAGTAACGACTAATTATTATTATTATTATTAGGTCCTAAAAATTCGTGTGTCTATGATTGAATATTAAGTTGATTCTGACGTAAATTAAATACAATATAGATTCTTAAATAATTTATTAGGAAAATTGCACAATGATCCCCAACCTTTTGCATCAGTATTAGATTGGTACATATTCTTTAAAAATGTGAAAATTAATTCATAATTTGTCATTATAATTACAAAATCGGTACAAGTGGTTGAAATTGTACAAAGCATAAAACACTTCTCCAAAGTCATATGGAAATTCAACAAAATTTTAAATATTTTTTATCAATTAGAATACGAACGTATTATATTAAAAACCAACTTGTTCTTTTAAAAATTGGGGCTTGTTGGCCATTGCTCGCAGTGGAATAGACGTCCGTTACTCATCTCCGCTTGTGCACTGCTCAGTTTACCACTTTTTATTTAAGAAAATGTTATTTATACATCGGGATTGATCGACTCCTCACAAGAGAGACCCCACGACCAATAAAAAAATAGTGGGCCCTTTGTGAGGGGGTCTGCACACAATAGCACGGTCCTTTTATTTATCAGTCCCCAATATTTTTTTATAAATAAATAAATAAAAAGGCCAATTTCTCATTTAGCTTTCTAGCAAGTACAATTTTTCCCTCCGAATCTCTCTGCCTCTAATTTGATCAAACTCTCGCCCGCACACAGTGTACAGTTCATAATTGTTTGCGATTTTTTTTTTCAGAATTTTTACAATGGAGCTGATTCAGATTTTACAGAGTATTGGAAGCATTTGGGTGGTGATTATGATAATCAAATCTTGCATTTAAAGCTAGGATCTTGAATGGCTATCAGAGGCGTCGATTTCAAATGGTCAGTTTATTTTAATTCCTCACCCGCTCCCCTGAAAATTGAATACAAAAATCATGATTTAAAAAAAATCACGCGTGCTTAGATTTATTACAAAAAATAAATTGGATTTATATGTGGAGGGTTTAATTTCTTAGCATTTAGACATGAGTTTGAATGGGGGTTATTGCAGGTATGATGGGTTCTTCCTGTCGATGCTTGCGACAAGTATGTATCCTTTTAATGAATGATCAATTACCGCAAGATTTCGTCTATTGAGTAATTGTTTTATTCTGGGTGATAATTTTATGATTCACTATTATTTTTGAATTTGTTAAATTGGAGACTTAATCTATTTTCAAGTTTGTTTAATAAACACGTGAGAAAAGTTTTTGGATGATATGCTTAACTAATGGATTATTAGAATGTTTAGGATTTAATTTTTTTAAAATGGGTTTATGGTGGATGATATCATGATAGTTTGATGAATCAATTTATATTTAATTTGCTTTTTCTGTTTGCTCAGGTGGGGATTTTACAATGTACTTCGAAGTTGTCATTTTGTTATTTGTTTGTATGAACTATGAAAGGACTTGCAGTTTTCCTATAACTAACTGATTATTAGAATTATTGTGGCGATCAACTGGAGGAGATACCATCTTTGTACACACCCATTGCACATATGGATTGTGGTATGTACCGTGAATCTTTTTAAGGAGGACTGAATATGACGATATTTCATTGACAATTTCTGATTTTCTGGAGTTATTTGTTTATTACTTTTAATAGGTTGACTACACTACAGTGTTTGTTTTCCGCCTCTTGATGTTTGTGGACAATGGACTGGCTGCTGGAATGGGATTGTAAGGCCTCCCTTTTCTTGAGATGTTGATGTTATATTTCTATTGTGCTAATACTTCTGCCACTCGCACTATTGAGTCTATTATGAGCCGACATTTTTCGAGTGCGATGTATAGTTTACTAGCTGTAGATGGTAGAGGCTATGATTTCACAAAATTCTGCAGACATTGCTGGGAAATCATATGGGGGCTAGACACTGCTTTTAACCTTCTTAGCCCCCGTGTGTCTCCTTTTAAAAGAGAACTTTTAATTCTTAATACTCATTTTCAACACATATTTACACAATAAAATATTTTGCACGTTAACCAAAAATTTTTCCTTACTTTTTAACTACACATTCTCCCAAAAAAAACCATTATTTAAAACCCCATTTTTTCGAAACAATGACCGGAGCTTAGTATACTGAACAAGACAATTTTTTTTCCTTCTTTAGTTTTCTAATACTATCCAATCCTCCCTAACGAACATGCAATAATTGTTTAAAATCAAGTTTGTTATGTTAATTTGCTGTCGTATTAAGTAACCATCCAATATACTTTATTACATAATAAATTTTGGTGCTTCAGTTTTCTCTCACAGTTATATAGTGTTTTCTCAGCTCGTTTCGTTTCCTGGTATAACAGCCAACTAATTTATTTCCCAATGCATGGTCTTAGGGATTTTGGTCGGCAACAAAGATATGCCCGCTTCTGTGGAAGGATAGTTGTACTATCCATTCTAGCTCTACTGCTTTACCCATTCCTTTGGGCTTGGACCATTATTGGTACACTATGGTTCACTAGTGCAAGAAACTGCGTATGATTTTTTGCTTTCTTCTTGTAAGTGAGCTAGTACATCATGTACTGCAAGCTTGGAGTAGATATAACATTTACANAAAAAAAAAAAAAAGAAAAGAAGAGGATACGAACAAAAAACAAATGTCCTGACCTCGCAGCTTCCATTCTTCTCCTTTTTCCTTTAATGGGGTACTTGCGAATTGCAATCACCTGTATAACGTTTTGTGTGACGTTTCCTTTTCATATTTGTTTGTAACGCTATCTTTAACCAAAATTCTTTGATATTAGCTTGTTTACCCTTCTTTTTGCAGTGGCTAACAAGAAGACAAGCACACCAATTGCGTGCACAGCAAGGAATCCCTATATCAGAATATGGGGTANCAATTGCGTGCACAGCAAGGAATCCCTATATCAGAATATGGGGTAAGCTCTAAGAACTCAATATTCATCAACTAGTGGACAGTATGTACACATTAGGTTCACTCGATTTTTTATATCTCGCAATTGATTTTGAAATCTTGTCATTGAGAATTTTCCACATGTCCAGCAGATGCCAATCAAAATATTAATCTTGCAATTGATTGTGAAATATTGTCATTGAGGATTTTTCACATGTTCTGTAGACACCCAAAGAAGTTTTACTTATTAAGGTGATTCCCAAAGTATCGCTTGCATAACAGGGCAACCTCAAATGATGTTGCTGGATAGAGGTAAGGCGTTAAAAAAACAATGTCAGATAATCAAATTGGGCAATAGGTATCACTTGATTGGTAGCGGATAACTTGCCTTTTGCTAGTGGAAATTGTCAAGCTGTGTTCTATTTTTAGCCAGACAAGGGAATTGACTATGATATTAACCCTCTCTAAATCTTCTATGGCATCAGAGGTTAGATAATGCACTGCATAAGAAAATACATGTCAAACAGTCGACGTTAAGGGTTCAGTTATACTGATGTAGCAAAACCATTATTGACACAACTTTTCTTAGTGAATGCTAGTCTTATTCAAAAGCTTATATTTATTAGCACTTTGGTAAGAATGATGAACAGCTCAACTATATTATCCATTTCCTTTTTTTAATAGCTGTGTAATGATTTTGTTTCTGTGTGACGTACTGAAATAACACTTCTTATTTCAGGTTTTTGTTGACTTGATTAGAGTGCCAGATTGGGCTTTCGAAGCTGCTGGCCAGGAAATGAGAGGGATGGGGCAAGATACAGCTGCCTACCAGCCAGGAATATACTTGACAACAGCACAGGTAAAATGAAATTTTCTTTGAAGGACTATTGTTGGTGCCCAATTAATTTCGTTCAATCTTAATCTTGGTAATTCCCTGATGCTTAGGACTCGTTAAAATATACAAAGTTACAAACATTTGGTGATTCAGGCATTTGAACTGAATTTGCAAGAGGCGTTAATAGAAAATTGTCTGGAACCACAGTTTAATATCTGGTTAATTTTACTTAGATAAAGTTTATATTTCGATTAAAATCCTTCTAGAACTTATGAAGCATTTCACGCTTTTTCTCATTGCTGCCTAAAGTCATATTCTCTTCTTCCACATGCATTACTCCTATATCATCTCATTTCAGAAGCCTTGTGCTTGATTTACACTTATTACCTGCTCCCATTTGAATTGGCGGGACCTGTTTTTCCATACAGAGAGAAGCGGTGGAGGCTTTAATTCAAGAACTTCCAAAGTTCACGCTTAAGACTGTTCCTGTTGATTGCAGTGAGTGTCCAATCTGTTTGGAAGAGTTTCGTGTGGGAAATGAGGTAAATATCTTCATTGATCAGTTTATAACAAGTCAAAGGTTGAAGTCCAAACTGATTAACACACCTTTCCATTCTAAGCAATTGAGATTATCTAGTAAAAATCTCCACAACACCAACTTAAATTAGCAATTGTAATTTGGCCATGCCAGGAATAAGAAGCTCATAAAATGCTAGACGAACGAGCGCATACCTCAGCCATCTTGATGCCTAGTCTCGAGGTACAAGCCTTGACAAATGGCACTCGATATAGATAATTAAATGATTCTTGGAATCTAAAAGATAAGAAACTTCAATAATAATGTGCAGAAGTGGGTGGAGTGAGCTCCATCTTTATTTTTGAGACCCAATGAAATATTTTTTTTGCTTTTTATTACTTATTATCCCCGGTTGGGTAAGAGGGAAAGAAATCTAGAAACCATTTTTGACTTGAATTTAAGGCACTGGCACTTAGCAATAGACATCACTTGACTTGATGCAGGTTCGTGGTCTTCCATGTGCTCATAATTTCCATGTTGAGTGCATTGATGAGTGGCTTCGGCTGAATATAAAATGCCCTAGATGCCGTTGTTCTGTCTTTCCAAACCTCGACTTAAGTGCCTTATCCAATATCCGTGCCGATGCAGAGCGGCCATCATCCAATGTACTGACTACAACTCAATATGTGAGAACCCAACCTCCTAGCCAGAGCTATCTCTTGAGACTACAGGGATTGCTTCGTCAAGTTCATGCAGAGAATACCGGGTCTGTCAGTGAAGCAAACAGTGTGGAAACAACTGAAAACAGAGGCCTACCAATTGCAACTCCTGGTCGAGCTACTACAGAGCCTGTGCAGGTAGTGGTTGAACAGTCAATAACCCCTCGATCTTGACATAATTTTTGTGATCTCTTGGAAGGTTCTAATCTCTAACCCCTCTTACACTTCCTCTTTGTAGTCCCTCTTTAATCCAATTGCAATGAATAGAATACATTGCCCATCCTTTGGGTTATCTTTCAGGAAAAATTGCACCTTTGATACCCAACCTATTATCCGACTAGCAATTTGATCCCTAACCTTTCAAAAGGAGCATGTTGGTCCTCGATCTTTATGCTAAATTGTACAAATTTTCTTTATTTTATCATGTGGTGCTCAGGAAATTATGCCTCCCTCACTTCGAAGTTCTGGTACTTGCAAGTTGATAAACAAAACTTAAGTTCATAAAGTTGGAAACATGAGAGTTATGCAATGAATTAACACAGATTTTGACGGTGTAAGTTGGTGAAGGTTGCACTGCTCCCCGTTCTTTTTGTAGAATTTTTACTCACTCATATTTTGATAAACCCAGTGCCCCGTAGAGACTGTACCGTTTATGCTTTTATGCAACTCTTTATTATTATTTTTTTCTTAACCTGTTCCTTTATTTTGTAATAATTTTGGGGTATTGAAATTCCATGATTTTTTCACTTTTATTTTGACTTTTTAGTGAATGGATTTAAGGGTGGGCAAAACTTTTTGCATTAGTTGGGCGGGTTAT